TTTTCAAAGACTCTCGAAGCAACTGATGGTTGATGCTTTTTCCCCTCTCCTGTGTGCCTGGCTCAGACACGGCGTGAACCCGGCAGTGTAACAGAGATGCGCCCCGCGGGGCTCTGGCAGCACCAGGACGCTGGTGACAAGTGCGGGTTGCATGTCCAGCTGAGGGGGGGTTCATCTTTATGAGCATGTTGTTGGTAGAGAGTCTGGAGATGAGACTGCAGACTGGGTGGGTCCTGCGTTGGAGGTGGGGGGAACGGAGGAAAGAGTAACTATGAATCTGCTGTGGGAGCGGGCGGGAGGAGCCAGGCTTGGTGAGGTGTGCTGGAGCCAGGCGTGCTGCAGGGGAAGCTCTTACTGCTGTCTGCAAACGCAGTCCTCCGCCAGAGAGGTTACCCCTTCCAAGGTAGAGCTGTTGAGCGAGTAATGGACCTGCAAATAAATACACTGGGCTGGGAGCCCCTCGTCTGTGGTGTAACCCAGGGCAGACTTAGCCCTCCTCGGATGTGCTGCACACAGAGCTGAGCTAAGCAGAAAACTGCTTCTGAGCTCACTGAGGGACATCCTGTTCTCCCCGTTCTCCTTGCGACATAACTCTGCTCACGCCGTGCCTTGCCCAGAGGGCGGTGCGGTGAAGAAAATGATGCAGAATGCAATTTGGGCATAAGATCAGGGAGCAAGAATAGCTCCATTTCCCCACCTGATTAGATATTGTAAACAACTCCCAGCCATAACCTGCTGGTAAACAGCAATGTGTGCCTCTTCTTTCTCAATACACACCAGTTGCCTTAGTCCCTTTGCTTGTTGCCTCCTGCTTCCATGTGACTTTCTTCTCCCTTCCTCCCCCGACTCAGATTTCTTACTGCAACAGATAATGGCTGGTTCTGTGGCACTGCAGCAGCCAGGGGCTTAGTGCCATTTATCTTTGGGGCAGCAAATGGGGAAGGAAGCAAATATCTGGGGAAACTCAGAGTAGAAAAAAGGAATGGCTCCCAGGGAGTGTCTGAGCAACTCCAGTCAAGTAAGAAATGACCATGACAACAAAGGGATTACAGGCAATAATCCTGCTGGAAAACATCCCTGAAAATCAATATATAAAAAATAAAAGCATTTTGGCTGGTATGTAGTTTAGCAAAATTTTCGGCTATATGTAAATCCACTAATATAGGCACCGTTGGCATCCAAGCAAAGGAGTTCTTTCATTGGGACTCAGAGGCAAAATCCTTCACTGAGTCACTCTTACATGGAGACAGAAATTTGCTGCGTTATAGTCTGTGCCAGCCACCCCTCCATCCAAAGCATATAGCCTGCCTGTACCTTTCCATGTGAATACTTGGAGACATTTTCCCCTATATCTATTACCTTTTGTTGTTGAACATGTCTTGCTGCTCCTGAGTCTGCATCTCTTTGCTCTAAGTAAATGCTGCTGTGTGAATGGGACTCGTGCCATTTGATTGCTGAGTCAGAACTATCAGTCAGTAGGGAGCAGGCATGGCTGATTTCACACCTCTAAGAACAGTTGGTTACCCATATCCTGTGTGGTGGACAGTCTTCTTTCCCCTGGAGTCTTGGAAGTGTCAGTGAAAGGGTGCAGAGGGCTTGAAGGGCCAACAAAAACAGAGCAACAAATATATCCTGAGGCTGGGTAGAGGACTGTTGTAGATCTATGGATAGCTTTGCTTGCAGAAGGTGAGGCAGGAGTGGATATCCAGTGGACAAAAGCTGGAATAGCTGGTCTGCACGTCTCGGGGGTGCAGACTGCCCTTGTGGGATTCCCCAAGTGTAGGTGGTGATTTATTTTCTGTGAGTGCCTGCATGAAGCACGGTAGTGTGGGAGGTGCGCTTTAGGTAAAAGATGAGACTTTTGCCACCAGAGGGTGCCTGACCCCTTACCAAACGTCAGCAATAGCCCATGTAACTCCTGCCAGCTCCCTCCTCCCCATTAGTTTACGTTGTCCTAGTGTTAATAGCACCCCTGCTGACGCTTCCTATCCATGAGCCCCACTTCTTCCCCGCACGAAGTGGAGATGAGTAACCATGAAGTCAGAGACAGGTCGTGAGAAAACCCTGCTTTGGGCTGGCAGGGAGCATTAGAAGCAGCATGAGCCAGGAGCATCAAAGTCCTGTAAGGGAGAGTTGCAGAGTCCAGAGGTGGCTTTCAGTTAATGTGCTCACGGATCAACTTTTCCCTCATACTCTGTTAAAGTAATGTTTTCTATACATTGCCATACAGCAGCTCTGTCATCTCCTCTGCAAAACTGCAGGTATTTAACTCCATGGTGTCTTCTGACACCTTAGCACTCAGAATAGGAAATGTTAGCTAGAAAATTCAGCAAAATACCCGTCTGTCTCAATGAATGTTCTTTCTCCAAGGAACAGTTTAAAGCAACATACATGCAATTAGGCTGGGGAATAAATGAGCCTCAGGAAAAAAAGTTCTCAAAAGGAGTAGAAAAGAAATACATTCGATCACTTACGTAAGAGAAGAAGAAATGCTGTTAGGACTGATATCCAGCTTGTTAGTAAGGTCATTATGAAGTTTGGACAACCGAGTGGTTTCACCAAGTTCTCTGAATTATGCTCTTCAGCAGTGTCTTAGGGAAAAAAACAAAACAAAACAAAACCAAAAAAACCCCTAAAGCAGGTCACATGACCATTGAGAAACTATGGTCACATCCTGAGTAGTTACATTTCCAAACAGAAGTTTCCTTTTTTGGTTTTAAGTTCAACATATAAACAAGCTTGCCACTTGAAAATGTTTTATGGAGAAGGTGGACAGCCAACAGTCATAGCCTGGTTTAGCTGTTTCACTCTCTGAGGAGTCTTTAAACACTAATAGTTATTTTTGCAGAATGGAAAAAGTCCTACCACAGAGAATTTGTCCGTGCTGAAGTCTTCTAATCCATGGACCAGCGAGTGGATTTTCTGTCTTGGAAGAATCTTCTAAGGCATTCTCTTTCAGTTTTGCTAGCTTTTTTCTTGAATTCAACATGAATATCACAATGTTTTGAGAAGAGGACTTGTTTGAATATTTCCCTTTCGTAATCAGCTTTTTCAGGAACAGAGGAGAAGCAGCTCACCATGGCTGCTAAACCATTGCGAGCAAGTTCCTGGAAAATAACTTCCACCTAAGAAAAATGTCTCAGTGTAGCAGGAACTAAATAGCAGGAGCTTACTATCAGACGATGTTTCTGATAGGAGTCAAGTTTATTCTTTGAACCAGAGTAAAAAACACGCATTTTTCTGCTCTTCATGAAAATTTATCTCCTTAAATGTATTAATCTGTTCCACAACTGAATGACAGCAAAACAAACAAATAAAAATGCTTTTTGCTAAGTGAACACATTCCTTCAAACTCATTTCAGACCTGTCCTTCAGAGGGGAAAAGCACAAGAACATGGGCCTCATTTTTTTGTAGCACATGTCTCTGGAGGGTCTCCATATTACTTTTACCTCTTGCTTATTGTAGTACCTTTCTGCTTTAGAATTGTCCTTTGCTGTCTGATGTCTTCAGCTCATGTGGGTGCTTATATGCTCCAATCAAAAGAGTCTGAAACACATCCTGTGTGAGAAGTTTTAAGAGAGAAAACTCTTGAATATTTCTTTTTCTCACTGTTAGTGAAGGAACGTCTGAGCAATCTGGTCTGAACAGAATATTGTGTCTTAAGGCTGGACGAAATATCCGTCTTGCTGAGTAAATTACAGTTGTGAAGCCTTCCTTCCAGACATGTTCTTAATGGCACCATTGTAGTCCGTAAGGAAAATGGTGACTGGCAAGTGTGTATGGTCAATGACTGCAAATGAGCACGATGCTGACAAATGTTAAGTTACTCTGACAGTCTGAGTGATAAATCATATTCATGACTTCCAAGCTGTTTGAGAAGGGATAAGCAAAATACAGTGTTAGCTACCAAACAAGACTCTCGAGACAACAAAAATATAAAATATAAGGATGATCCATGTACTCTCTGAGGTGGCCTTAGTTCCTGGCCTGTTTTGCTGTGTGAAGTGTAAGTATAACCGACTGAGTGTGACAGATGTCATAGAAAGTATTTGTTAATGCTTTGACCAGTAATGAGTGTTGGTGTGTACATATGCATGGATGCCTAGTTCATTTTTGCTCTTTCACTTCTCCTGTCTCTCTATAGGATCAGAGTTGAAAACACCAAAACCAAGCAGACAAAAATCTCTGCCCTAGCTGGGTGGAAAAAAATCAGGATCCTTGTAAGAACCTCCGGTGTTTTTGTACCTCATATGTTTCATCTGCAAATGATCCCATGCTCCAAGGTTCTGAAAACCTCTTATGGAGGGACTAACATGAATGTCAGCTTTCTTGTTTTGTTTTGGGATTTGTTTTTTTTGTTTGTTTTTCCTGGCCCAAGTCAGTGGTCTCAAGTGGTTTTTGTGTTTTAGAGAAGGAACAAAACATCGGAGTATTTGGCTGAACTCTGTCAAACTGTTTGGTTTATTCCATGGCTTCTTTCCACAAATGCTTCAGAGAGCTTAGCTAGCTGACTGCACACCGCTGACTGTGTACACTTCACTATTCTCATTCACAGCATACTTTCAGTGAGGAAAAGCACTGATCAGAATAAGCCAGGCTTAATATAATCCTGCTTTGTGGTAGGTTTATTCTGATTCTTGACCAAACTGGGAAATGTGGTTTCAAGCACTGTCATCATTATCAGCCCTCCCTCTATTCTTCACCATCCAACCACTGGGCAGGATATATATGTTTAATTAATTCTGCTTTTACCTTCGACCTGTAAATAGTGGGAGTAATGTCAGATTTATACGTTATATGAATAACAAGGATTTCTCAGGAGACCCTATCCTGGTGAAAGAGGCTAACTGTAATTTTCAGCTGTGAGTAATTGTATATAATATAATCCTAAATGATTTTTCTTCTGTAATTTCATTAGAGTTTAGAAATTTAATTAGATTTTGAATCACTCTGAAATAAAGTAGCAAAACACCCAGAGACTAAGTGCAGTGGTTATTTTGTCCTCCGAGGCCAGAATTCTTGGTCTCAAATTGGCATGTGTTCATTAGGAGGAAGTTTGCAGAAGTTCTTGATATATTATTGTCTTTCAGAATGGACTCTGAATAGGTCTTTGGAGAGCATTAGAGGAGCACACGATTATTATACAGACTCTTTTTGAGGTTTAAGATCATCTGCCTTTCATATACTTAATAAAAATATGCCTCTAAAGTTGTTTAAGAAACTGTGGAGATAGGAAAGATGCTCCTCCAGTGCCTCAGTGCTCTTCCTGGTTTATTAGCAACTCCAGTACCTGTGTATGATGATACAGAGAGGAGTTGTTTGCTTTACTTTAATGATTAGGTAGGTTTATGGTTATTTTTATTGCTACACATATGAACTGTCATGGTGGCTGTAATTAGAGACACTAAAATGCTGTTCCTTCTCTTCTATCTGAGGTTCAAAAGAAATCTGTCCTGGCCAACTTTGATTCTCTGTGGAATTCATCCAATGAACAAAAAATGGACTCAGATGGCATGGAACAGCACAAAGCAAAGATTAACGCAGCAGCTTACAATAGCACAGGGTGCCAGGATAGTTGTGGGTTCATAAAGGAGATCTTCTTAAAAGATTCTGAGGGATATAGGTATGCAAGTACTTGATCCCTTTTTGTTTTGACTTGTATAACACAGTTTGTTTTTGTGGAGATGCCCAGATTTATGCTTTTTAACTAAAAAGAAGGGATCTGGACATTTAAGAGCAAATTCTCCAAAGCCTTTAGCCACAGTAGGGCCTCTTTTGTCATTGGAGTTAGTTGATGGATCAGGGCTACCTGCATGATTTTGTGAGAGTAGGTCCTTAAAAGGCAAAGGAGGCAGCATATTGGGGGATGAAGTAGTGAGAAGGAAATTCAGATTACTTTCAGCATGGTCAAAATATAAGGAACCATAAAAGAGCTATAGACAGTATAAATTAAAGAATCTAACAAAATGAGCATGGGTAGAGACAGCAAATGTTGTAACATGAAGAATTGTAGCAGGACAAATGAGACAGACAAACATCAAAAAGATCTTTAAATAATGGCAATCCAAGCTATTTGAAAAGAAAGAGGTAATCCAGTGCAATGGGATGCATGTCAGTCCCAAAGCAAGGAGTGAAAAAGAAATGTCTCAGATGAGCAGAATGTTCAGTTATGGACTCTGTGTTGGCCACTGCAGGCAGACATGGAGTGAAATAGTTCCTTGGTCTAATCAAAGGTGTCATCTCCTTTGTTCCATTAATAGCTCTTGATGAGAGCTCATCACACATATCCAGTCCTTGGGCTCAAGTATATACCTTCAGAGTGTGGCCAAGAACATCTGGATTCCAATTGAAAAAGATTCTTGGAAAAAGATTGGAAGTTTTTGTGCACTTTGCTTGGTAGATATCAGTGGAAATTAGACAGCCTCAGGCAGACTGGTGTGTGTGGTTGTGCTGCCTTCCATTAACATGTCATGTCACATCACAGAGCAAATTGAAGAAAACATGTTCAGGCTGGTTACTGCTAAAAAATCAAGGTGCTTTTGCTATGGGCATCCGGAACAAATTGCAACTATGCCTGAAAACTCACAGCTGCTCTTTCTTTGCTATTTTCTCCATCTCCTCCTCTGTCAGGACTCTGAGCTGCTGGGACAACTGGAAGGGATTCCACATCTCAGCAAGCAGTAGGATCACAGATGTCGGGTGTGTTAACAAAGGGAAACATGCCTGCACCAATTATTTTAATGCCTTCCTCCCTTGACATTAAAGAATCTGTGGGAAAACATTCAGCATTTCAGTCTCTCTCCTTTTTTATTCCCCTCTATCTCTGTTTCCATTTCAGTGTGAAGGAATGTGTTATGTTACAGAGGTGTTGCCTCATTTTAAAAACACACTTTCTGGAGTTTATATGGGGGGCAGTATAACTTGATCCTGGTTAATAACTCAGATGCAAGGAGGCAAAGTTAAAAGCCTTGGGACATTGTGTGCTCAAGTGTCTTGTGTACATTGGGAAAGAAACTGCTGAAGTAGTCCACGTCTCAGCTATTCATTTGCAGATGTCCTGCTCCAGATCTTGCTCTGTTCTTCAGTTTATAAAAATGTATGGTGTCCCTTATGGAAGTTACAACTTTTACTGAGCTTAATTTCTTCCATACCAGATGTATCTAGATTATTCATTTACGTGTTCTGCATCTGTGTGTCATTACTGCTTGCTTCCTGCACATTGAACCAATGAAGCACATTGGTTTTTGTACTTCTGTTGACTCTGTGTTATGCTGCAGCAGAAAAAAAGGGTATTACAGCAGAAGGCAATGTCTTCCATGGTGAAGGATGCCCAAAATTCTTTTAGCTTAACACAGGGCAATAGGCTTATTATGTGCTGGGATGAAACATGGGTAGGCAGGCATAAATTGGAGTTGAAAAGTAAACCTTTTTTTAGGAAACATGGCTAATGTGTTTGAAAAGTGCATATCTAATATTTGCATGAAAACTGTCAAATTCATTCCAGGCTGAGTATCAAGCTTCTGCCACTCTACCATAGGCATGGTCTGGGATCTTGGGGAACCTACTGACGCTGCTTCATGATGGCAAA